CACCAAAGTTTACTTGCTTTGGCACATTGCCTTATATCTATGGGGCAGTACAATTCTATTATGCTAATTAGAAAAGCACCATACATGCTTGGATAATATAAATGTTTACAAGCCATCGCATAGTCTTTCTCTCTCTAGAGCATCCATCCAAAATGACTAAAGAAAACTCACCCTTCTATATCTATTTTCCTTGCCTACACTTTCTCTTTCTATCAAAAAAAACTTTAATAAACAAGAGCCCAAGAGTACCCACGTTGATGTCGTCCCATCTTTTTTCTCCTCTAGATAGATTTTTTAAACAATATCATTCTCGATATATATGGATATAAATAAAAACTAAGAATTTCAAGTCAAGTTATGTCGACCATTTATTTTCAAGATTTTCAAATGTTTTTAGATTTGTTTGATTTTGTAGTATTTTTTAATTTTAGATATCATAAATAAGAACAAAAATAAATTTCCAAACCATCATATAGTTTTCGATATTGAAACTACATCACCAAGTAAATTTTAGAAGTGTGCCTTATTTCTATAAGGAAGATGCCTTATACAAACCTCACTCACCCCTAGTAATAATACCATCATAGCAGGAAGCCTCATGGTTTATTAATATTTGAGATGGTGATCTTGGGAGAGCGAGTTGATGCTGCCAATAGGGTCACAAAATACATATTTATATTATCATCGTCATCATCAACCTTTTCCGATGATTTTTGAAGTGCATCTTTACTTCTACATTTTAAGGTTGTAATATTTTTTCTTTATATATAAATCACATTATATTTTTAAGGAAAAAGCTTAAATAAGGTTGCAACTTTAAAATGTAGAATTACCGATGCGCCTCAAATATCCATTGGAAAAAGTCATTTTAATGTTGAAAAGCGCTCTAATTGATCATCTCAACATGAAGATGCAGGACTATGACAACAACAAAAAAAAGATTTTGAGCATCAAAAATGGTATATTTAACAACACATTATCTAGACCGTTCATTTTTAAGATTTTCATATATTTATAGATCTATTTGATTTTAACCATTTTTAGAGTTTAAAATTTTATAATTAGATATAAAAATAGAGTTTCAAATAATCATAAGAATTTTTTACAGCAAAATTGCATGTTATGATAAAATTTAGAAGGGTTGAAACCAATGGTTTAAAAAACGGATCGGTGACCTTGATCGGGCACCTAAAAAACTGATCCGGATCGGCGAATCGACGATCCGGATCGGGAATCGGGTGAATCGGTCAGAATAAAGCTTAAAAAAAATCCAAAAAAATTATTAAAATTCATTATAAATATTGTTTTTTAGGAATTCAATAAAAAAATGAGGGTCCTCCATTAAGAATTTTCATGTTTTTGAATGAATATGCGAATATTGATATGTTCTTTCCCTACTTGAACCGCCATTCAGCATTTAATTTACATCACACAAAAAGATAAACATAGAATTATCATGAAATAAGTATATCAACATACATGGACTACAATAAAGCATAAAATTAGTAACATATGATCTAAAAATAAAATGATAGACGACGTTATTGTTCTTCTTAGTCACGCTGGTGCCATTGATTGAATTCGTTTAACAATTCATTGATTCGATCTAAAAATGAATCATCGATATTAGCAGGCGTCTGACTATTCCCAAATCCCTGAGTGTTAGTGTTTTGTTGTGTTCCCAATCCAAAATCCCCGAAGCTTGTCCATCCTTCATGCTCACCTGCACTGTCGTGCTCATCCCTACACTGTTGCTGCTGGGACTCGATATGTGAATAATATGGCTGGGATAGGGTGGCCTCAGAATCATCATCTCTCTCATTTTCTCTTTGAATAATATGGATTAAAAAAAAAAAATAACAAATTTTCAAAAAAATCGATCATGGATTAAAAAAAAAAATCACAAATTTTCAAAAAATTCTATCATGGATTACAAAAAAAAATTCGACCATGGATTAAAAATTAAAAATGACAAATTTTAAAAAAATTCTATCATGGATTACAAAAAAAAATTCGATCATGGATTAAAAAAAAAAAATCACAAATTTTCAAAAAATTCAATCATGGATTACTAAAAATTCGATCATGGATTACAAAAAATTCGATCATGGATTACAAAAAATTCGAACATGGATTACAAAAAAAAAAAAAATGAAAAAACAAAAAATTCCATCGTGGATTACAAAAAAGAAAAAAACAATTCGATCATGAATACAAAAAATTCAATCATGGATTACAAAAAATTCTATCATGGGTTACAAAAAAAAAAAAACAAAAAATTCGATCATGATTACAAGAAAAA